TTTGGCAAGCCTACTACCTCCGTGAAGGTCGAGAGCTCCTCCTCCATGCGTGTGTAGTCGACTTTGCCGGCATCCTTGCATGACTCTAGCAACCGATCCCTCGACCACGGGACCGCCGTAATCGACTGGTTGGTATTCCCTGCCTTCTTGAGGCCACCTTGAAGGTATGACAGTCGTGTTGTTTACTCGCTCAGGTCGGGATCCAGTTTTGAGAGCCTCAGGGCCTCATCCACTTCGCGTCTACAACTCTCCAGCAGCAGTTCGATGCTTTCTCGGCCTGTCTTGCACCGTTTCGTTCGCGCGTGAACGCTGGTACCTTCTACCGTAACATCGCTCAAAGGTTTAACAAACGGTATTTTGTTTTGCCGGCATTTTCCTCGCAGACAGGAGTCCTCCAATCTCGACTGCATGCGTTGACGGTTTCTTGGCGTTTGCGGCCCCTTTTGTGCCGTTTCGTGTTTCCGGCGTGAACACTGCCTAGACCTGTACTCGATAGGCCTTCCTTTTTTTTCGTAACATAGCACAACAAATCCATCTCTATCCATAGAAAAGGATCTAGGATATATTGGTAATGAAGTCAAGCGTTAGCGGGGTGCGATTCAGATTAACTATTTTTGGTTCCATTCTATTCTCAGCATTATACCCGAAATCGACAATGAAATGTACAAAGCAAGAGCCTGTCGAGTACTGGTTTAACGCTGCCGCTACTACACCCACCCCTCTCTCCAGACATTCACGCCTTCGAGGGAACCGTTAGTTGACAACTTGGGCCGCTCTTACGGCCTAGGAAGGCGTAAGACCAGCACGGCTAGGGTGTGGATCTCTCTCTCCAAGGGCGAGGGGGGCGTGTTCATGGTCAACTCGAGGCCCATGATCGACTACTTCCCTCGGGACCACCTGCAGAACGAGGTAACTGCTGGCGGTTTCGTCTTAGCTGTGGTTTATGCTTATTTGAGTGGCACCACACTTTCTGTGCTTTCGTCGTAGTCAGCTGTGGTGTGTGCTTGGTTGAATCACGCCACACGTTCTGCACTGTTGTTGTTTTCGTCATAGTCAGCTCCGGATCGTGCTTCCAGCGTAAGCCGTCGAAGAAGAAGGAGAGCTATTGTAGTACCACCGCACTTTCTGAAGCTGCTGCTTTCGTCTGGAGGCAGCTGTGTTTTGTGCGTGATGAGCGCCACACTTTCTGTGCTTTCGTCGTAGTCAGCCGTGTTTTGTGCTTGATTGAGTCGCACCACCCTTTCGGTGCTTCATCTTAATGTGAGCTGCTGTGTTTTGTGCGTCATTCGCCCCACACTCTCTGTGCGTTCGTTGTAGTTAGCCGTGTTTTGTGCTTGATTGAGTGGCACCGCACTTTCTGTAGCTGTCGCTTTGGTCTTAGTCAGCTGTGTTTGGTGCATTATTTAGTAGCACCACGATGAAGGGCGGCAGTTGCGGCTTTTTACCCTGTGCCAATTAACCTCGTTTTTGTCCTTGTTTCGCAAGTGCTAGGTTGTTATCACCCTCGCTATTGCTGTTTTTGGGCCGTCAGATTCTTGAGGCCCTTGAATACATCAGCGAGCTTGGCAAACTACTTGTGTGCTGTTGCCGTGCTGAAGGCATCGTCCCTTCCACCGGGTTTTGCTGTGTTTCGCTGGGCCGTCAGATTCTCAAGTCTCTTGAATACACCAGCAAGCTCGGAAACTTCCATGTTGTTGCCATCCTGAAGGCATCGTCCCCCTCCCACGGCTATTCTTGATTTTGTTTTGGCGATCACATTCTTAAGTCCCTTGATTACTCCAGAGGGGCTGGCAACGTCTACTTTTTTTTTTTTCCTGTACGAATCGTCACCCTCCCCCCCCTCCCCCCCCCCGGCTGTTGCTGTGTTTTGTGGGCCGCCAGATTCTTAAGCCCCTTGAGTACACCAACAAGCTCGGCAACTTCCATGTGAGGTGCACGGCAAAGGGAGGTGGCCAAGCTGGCCAAGCCGGCGCCATCAGGCTGGGTCTGGCGAGGGCGCTGGAGGCACACGACCCCTGGCTCAGGAAGATGCTCAAGAAAGGTACAGTACAGCAGCGGTTGACACCTAAGCAGAGCAGTGCATATCCCTGGCTCAGCAAGCTCCTCAAGAAAGGTACAGTACAGCAGCAGTTGACACCTATGTCGAGCAGTGCGTATCCCTGGCTCAGCCAGGTCCTCAAGAAAGGTACAGTACACTCCTGGGCCCTGTGTAGTGCCGATATGTGTTCAGAGATTTTGCCGGCACTGCTCCGGACACTGGCACTGTAAGCCTGACACCGGCGCTATTCAAAGTACCGAAAGACTTGGTACGTATTTCAACGAGTGCGAGCCGAAACACCTGCACTATCGTGTATATGACACAAGATAGCACACCCCCTGGACCATTTTTCAAAGCTCGATTTCGCCATGACGAAGAGGATGAATCAACCAAACGGTACAGTTTCGGAAAGCTCTCGACGAGACAGCTTCAACGCCACCGTTTTCGGCGCTGTGAGTGTTTCTGTGGTTGAGAAATCGATATTTGAAAATCGGCCCTGGGGGTGTGTTATGTTGTGTCATTTACGGTATACCGGGCACCCGACACTTTTCGACGGGCACTATACAGGGCCCAGTGCTGTACTGCGTATCCCTGGCTCAGGAAGTTCCTCAAGAACGCAGTACAGTACTGAGCATTGCGTATCCCTGGGTCGGGATGCTCCTCAAGAAAGATTCTGCAGCAGTTCCATCCACTATGAGCAGACCAGAGCGTGCCCCGTTCTGCGGCGTCCTTCCGTACATGCACGTTGGCGCTGTAACCGGGTGTTGTAGTTGCCGTTTGCCGCCTGTGGTCATCCCGAAGACCGTTCTTTTTTTTCCGGGCAAGTGCACGCAACATGTTCGTTTCCACAGGTGGTACCTTTGGAGTGGGGTCGAGAGAGAACAACCGTGTTACCAAGAAACCACGACCGAATTAAAAAGATAACCATATGTAGGCCAGGAGCAACAAGACATCAGCTGTCACTTCCCATTTCCAAAATCTCTGTCCCTCGCTGTTGTTGTTCCGCGGTCTTCCGTGAAACCGGAAGGAAGGTGACCACGAACCGCACGGTTGTAGCACAGAAAACCTTACCGTAAGAGTCGGAGAGATGGCACCCCCCCAAGACCGACTTTCCAAGCTCGATTACTCCATGACCAAGATTGTCTGTACCGAACCGTATAACGTACCGTGGTATTCCGTAGGAGGCGGAGAGATGGCACCCCTCCTAGACCGACTTTCAAAGCTGGTTTGCTCCACAATCAAGATTGTCTGTACTGTACCGAATACCGCACCGTGGTATTCCGTAAGGGTCGGAGAAATGGAACCCCCCTAGACCGAATTTCAAAGCTCGATATTCCCACAACCAAGATTGTGCCAACGCCAATAACGGTGGTTTTGGAAATATCTCGTCAAGGGAAATTGTTCACGTATCGGGCTCTTTCCGCGCCCACTTGTGGAGCAATCGAGCTTTGAAAGTCGGTCTAGCGTGGATGCCATCTCTCTCCCTCTTACGGGCTCTTTCCGTCCATTTTCGGAATATCGTAGGTGACACGAGATACCGAACCCCCCGGACCGATTTTCAGAGCTATATTTATCCACAGTAGAAAAGAAGCGTGGCAGCGCCGAAACGGCGGGGTTGAAACCGTCTCGTTAAGAGCTTTCCGAAAACGTATCGTTTCATGTATGCATCCTCTTCGTCGTGGAATAATCGAGCTTTGAAAATTGGTCCAGGGGGTGTGGTATTCTATGAAACCACGGTTTCCTGTGAAACCACGGCATACAATGAAACCACCGTGAAACCGCGGTATACAATGAAACCGCGGTATGCTATCAAACCGCGGTGTCCTATGAAATCACGGTATCGTATGAAATCACCGTATATCGTGTGGCATGTAAATGGGTACGCGTGGCCTCAAAAGGACAACTTGGCGCGCCGTGTCTCATGTTTTGCGCTCTGAATGGAACGGTACGGCGGCTGGTGTTGTCTTTCTCGGCAATTCTTGAAAATGTCGTTTGTGGGCATTTTGGGCGATTCGTTTTCAAGCGGCGAAAGGGGACATGAGCCGCGTCGCACCCAGTGGGCGGGGCAGGTATCGTAGCATATTTCGTTCATTACCCCGTTGCGCATTCAACAAGTCATACCACCTTTTGGTCACCCTTGTACATAGACCGCGAGCAATTGCAGCTCCTAGCTTCGTCACGACCTGAAACTCATCCACCCCACTGCATAAGATTCTACATGGTACAATCCCCTGGACCGACTTTCAAAGCGCGATTCCTCCACGAGGCAGGGGATACCAAAATCAAATACTTCTTACTCCATTTTCGGAAGGCTCTCGACGAGACAGTTCCAAGGCCGTCATTGTCGGCACCGTCACAGCTCTTTCTGCCGAGCAATCGAGCTTTAGAATTTGGACCAGGAGGTGTGATGCATTTTGCAACACAGTATCATACCCCACACCATCCTTGATCGGTCGATTTTTAATCTCCCCTTCGCGGCCCTTGCCTGTTGTGCTTTTTTTTTCTCATGATACAACACATCCATCTCCACAAGATGTGCAACAATTTCATCCTTCTAAGTATTGTCGCCCCTCGTGCGCGATGTTTGTGTTGGTTCAGAGGGCATCAATGAGCGGGACTCTCGAGCATGCAGTCTTTTGGTGGCCACTGTAGACCGCAATTGTCGCACCTAAATTTTGCTCACCCTTCGTCGACCTCGATCCGTCGCTTTTTTTCGTTGTCTTCCCTGTCCTTGCCTCCTTTGTATTTTTTTACTTCAGAGACTGGACTCTCGAAAATGCAGTCTTTTGGTGACCCCTGCAGGCCGCAGTTGTCACACCTGAATTTGAGCTCACCCGGCATCGACCCAACCCGACATCGACCCTAATATTTTCGTATCCTCCCCTTCCAGTCCCTCCCCCGTGTTTGTTTACTTCAGAGGGCATGATGAAACAAGCCTCTCGAACATGCAGTCTTGGTGGCCCCTGCAGACCGCAATTTCTCGCACCTAATTTTGAGCTCACAAGACATTGTATCCTCCCATTCCCTTGCCTCCTTTGCCCGCCTCCGCGTGATTTTTTTGTGCTTTTTCAGAGGGCATGATGGAACGAGACTCCCGAAGGGTGGAGCGCAAGAAGCCGGGTCTCAAGAAGGCTAGGAAGGCACCGCAGTGGGTCAAGCGATAAGGGCTTGAACAGTAGTGCCACTGCTTTATATTGCGAATATTTTTGCCGTTCGATATAGGCTTGAATGGTGTGTAGTGCCGCTTCTTTCGATGGCCAATATTATTCTTGTTTCAGTGCAAAACATGATCGGTTCGCTGGCTGTCGAGTGCTTCCACCGCAGAATATCGGTTCAGTTGCTGTCGGGTGGTTCACCGAAGAATACCTGTAGAGTGGTTCCATAGCAGAACATCGGTTCGCAGGCTGTCGAGCTGTTGCGGTGCACGATATCGATTGGCTGGCTGTTGGCGAAATGAGTTGCCCTCGACGAATGAGAGGTTGATTTGCCCTGGATGGGTCGACGGCAGTAGTTGCCAATAGAGGTGTTCATCCACTTTTTTGGTCTCTTGTTTTCTGTGGTGTCTTTTGGTGTGCGGTGGTGTGTGGCATACCGGATGTTGTGATGGTGCCGTCGGTTTAAGTGTGCGGTGACTTGTAACGCTTTGATCAAACGCACGTATGTATGGCCATCCGGCGGTACGGCGGTAGCTTTTGGTACGGTGGCGCACGTACCGTAACTGACTTGAGCTATCACACCCCGTGAACTTTCTAACCTCGATTTCTTCATAGCAGAAAGAGTGGCAGTGTCGAAAATGACCGCGTTGGAGCCGTCTCATCGAGAGCTTCTCGAAACCTACCGTTTCATGTATTGGTCGTCTTCAGTGTGGAATAATCGAGCTCGGAACATGGGTCCAAGGGGGTGCGTTATCTCGTGTCGCCTACGTTATTTATGCCTTGCCATCCGATGGCAGCCTCAGGTAGGGTGGTGGTGAGTGCACTCTGTCCTTGTCGTGTCGTGTGTCCCAGCATCGGGGGGCTTACCTTAATTCGTGGTCGGCTTTGGGTGCGGCAAGCACGACGGCACTCCGTTCTCACGGCAGCAAGTATGTGGATCGGTGACGCCTTCGCGCCGCCCACTCTCGTTTCAACGGTGTAATGGGGTCATCGTCGATGGGAACCGCAAGTTGTGATTGCGGTGTGCCGACGAGCGAGGAGTCGATGTCGGGGGAGGCTACCGCGATCAGTTTACATGCTTCTCTAGTGCTTTCGCCTTGAGTTCTTTTTCCCGTTTTTCCTTGGAAAGCCCGCAAGCGGAGTGTTTCCAGCTGATTGGCACAGGTTGCTTGCCCATCAATCCGGAAAACAGCGCTATTCACGCCCGATGCACGTCGAAACACCTACATAACTCCGAGTTTCCCGTCTTCTTGAGTTGAAACGATGTTGGATACATCGTCGTTGCTGTTTCCGACAGCATGTCCGGGTCGCAAGAACCAATCTCTCTCTCTTGTCTCTCCTCTAATTCTCACGAAACAAAGCCAATGAAAAACCAATGTGGTGTTGGTGGTATCAGCATCCTCGCACGTACAAGCCCAACAACAATCAATCAATCTTGCAGTATAATAACGAGAGTGAAATGTGGTAGTGACACTCAAGTATGGACGAAAATTTGAAAACCTCAGCAGTGGATCCCACGATGCACTCTCGCATCAAGGTACCTTTGCTCGACGGTGGCTGGAAGCAAGAATTTTGAGCCTCGACTCCAACTGGAACCATTTCTTTGTCTCCGGGCGCCGACAGCGACCAATTTTCATCCAAGATTACCTTCCGGAGTGCTGCCGGCCATGCGACGTCGGCGATAGAGTGAGTGTAGTCACAGGCTGGTGCGAGCATCGTCAGCTCTGTAGGACGGGGTGTCCGCGTTTCGAGCCCGTCCGTGCCGTGGCTGGTTGAAGTTCCGGCCAAAAACGAGCTGCTGAGGTGAGAGTGGCCACACGACCTTGTCTATCGGTTGGAAAAGTGATCAACGAACGTGAGCTGTTGCAGTGAAGTTGGCCACTCGGCCAGGCGGTCGAAAGGCGGGCAAGAGTGATCAACGAACGTGAGCTGTTGCAGTGAAGTTGGCCACTCGGCCAGGCGGTCGAAAGGCGGGCAAGAGGCTTCTCAAGAGTGTCCATGGGAGTACGGTATACTGGTACGCACCATAAGCTTACTCCGAAGACGAGCCTGGGGTTCGCGGTGGGCAGATTGGCGATACGCTTCTTCTCCGGACAGAGTGATCGTAAGGGGGGTATGCCGCGAAGATAACTCCTGAGACGAACCTGGCGGTCGCAGAGTGCCGGCAACGTCTCGCGGCGGTCGCAGTGCCAGTGACACAGAGAGCGACCGCACTACGGCATCAGTCATGAAATCGAGCCTTGAAAAAAATCAAATTCTAAGAACTTGAGCATCATTATTTATGAGCAGCTCGGTTAAAACCCCACACTAAAACCTATATAGCGCCCATTTGTATCCTACACGAGGAACAGAGAATCCCTGTCTCGGAAAAAACTACCACACAGTACTGTAGAGAGTATGACGTGCGGGTCGCGTAGAAACCCGGTGCCTCGGCCAGTCATACACACACCACACAACGGCAGTCAAAGAACCCTTTCATTACCCGTTGATTACAGTTGTGCGAGAAAAAGGCACGTTTCAAGGATGCCCAATTTCCGGTTGACGGCGCAGTAACCAGGATCTAAGCCCCGGCCCAGAGAATGTTGATTCTATAACTTGTTGCCGAGACGGTTTGTCCCACCTAGCAACGTGCTGATTGTCGTGCGTCCCGATCCTCAGATTCTGCAGAGAACGAGGCCATGTCGCTGCTTCGGTGGGTCACTGAAAAGTAGGTACGCTCAAAGTGAGATGCTGGAGAGAATCAGGCCACGTCGGCGCTTCGATCGGCTGGTTGAATCCCTGTCCGGATCTCAGATTCTGCACAGAATCAGGCCATGTCGTTGCTTCAATGGGCTGGTTGAAGTTACAACCGAAGGTGAGATGCTGCAGTAATGCATTCCAGGCTACCCTTTGAATCGGCTGTTTGAACTTGTTCCCAAACCTCAGATGCTTAACATGCGGAGGCCATGTCGTTGCTTCAATGGGCGTGTTAAAGTTAAACCTGAACGTGAGATGCTGCAGTGATTCATTCCACGTCACCCTCTCAATCGGCTGGTTGAATTTCGCCCCGCAGCTCAGGTACTGAAGACGCTGAGCCCAAAGGGCACGTTCGATGACCTGGTTGAAACGCTTGCCAAACGAAAGATGCTGAATTGAGTTGAGCCAGGCGAATCCCGAAACCGGCTGGTTGAAGCAATCTCCGAAAATGAGTTGTTCCAGGCATGGAGGCCACTTGACCATATTGATTGCTTGGTTGAAGCTGCTCCCGAATTCCAGCCGCTGCAACGACGCAGGTAACCCAGCGGACCCTGCGAATCTCGAAACCGGCTGGTCGAAGCAATCTCCGAAAATGAGTTGCTCCAGCAATGGAGGCCGCCTGACCATACTAATTGCTTGGTAAAAGGTGCTCCCGAATTCCAGCCGCTGCAACGACGCGGGTAACCCACGAACCCTGCGATAGGGCGGTTGAACGACCGCCCAAACGTGAGCCTCTTCAGCCGACTCGGCCACGCCACCGTGTCAACAGCATCGTCGAAGGCATCCCCAAAGCGCCAAACCTCGGCTTCGCTCAACGCATCGATCGGGCTCCGTATCTCCGTCCGGATCAAGGAATGGTCTCAGATAACACCGTACGCCCGGAACCGTGGAACGCGCGAGGGCGAACCGTCGGTCGAGAACCGTGGAACGCTTGAGGAGGTACCGCCGGTCGAGAACCGTGGAACGCTTGAGGAGGAACCGTCGCTCGAGAACAGTGGAACGCCGGAAGAGGTACCGCCGGTCGAGGGAAGTGGAACGTTTGATGAGGAACCGTCGCTCTAGAGCCGTGGAACGCTTGATGAGGAACCGTCGCTCGAGAACCGTGGAACGCTTGAGGAGGCACCGTCGCTCGAGAACCGTGGAACGCTTGAGGAGGCACCGTCGCTCGAGAACCGTGGGGGTATCGCCGCTCGAGATCCGTGGAACGCTTCATGAGGAACCGTCGCTCAAGATCCGTGGAACGCTTGAGGAGGTATCGTCGCTCGAGAACCGTGCAACGCTTGAGGAGGAACCACCGTTCGAGAACAGTGGAACGCCGGAAGAGGTACCGTCGCTCGAGAAACATGGAACACCGGAAGAGGTATCACCAGTCGAGAGCGGTGGAACGCTTGAGGAGGAACCGTCGCTCGAGATCCGTGGAACGCTTGAGGAGGTACCGTCGCTCGAGCACTGTGGAACGCCGGAAGAGGTAACGCCGTGCGAGAGCAGCCTGTCTGGAATCCCGTCGATGATCCGCAAGTGCAGGGTGGGCACGTTGCGGCACGCCCGACACACGTCTAGAGACGCCAGCTGAAGCTCCTTTGTCGACGTGTACCACTGCCTTCTTCCGCCGTAAGCTTGGTGGAGGGCCACCGCCAAGGCATCGAGCCAACGGCTTCCATCAACACCTGGATGGTGGAGCAGAAGAAAAAAAAACGGGGGGGAAAAAGTCGTGGGATTATTTTTAGTTTTGGGGTCCCGCATGAATAAAACGGTACGCCCCGGCTATGTTGAATATATTCTGGGCACCCTTCCATCAGATTCGGCGTGCCTTGTTTTTTTTGTCGCTCCGTGGCAATATCAGCTTGCTCGTGTATATACCTGAATGCTCACGGCTCCTCCCATGCGGGCAAAATGCCACGTCACGACTTGAAACCCGAAATCTCGCAGAGTACCGCAAACGACACAAGATAACACACCCCCTGGACCGATATTAATAGCTCGATTTATCCACAGCAGGAAGACTCGCAGCGCCCAAAATGGCGGCTTTGAAGACGTCTGGTAGTTGGCTCTCCGAAAACGTATCGGCATCCTCTTCGTCGTGGAGTAATCAAGCTTTGAGAATCGGTCCAGGGGGTGTGATATCTTGTGTCGAATACGGTATTGCCCCCTTCCCACGGTTTCGCTGCGTAGGATGAACACGTTGAGACTTGACAACGCCGAATCTAATCTACAGACAATACCAGCATGCTCGCGCCTCTTTGCATGCGGGCGAAACACCACGTCCGCCGCATTTAAACCCCACGCTGAGTGGGACAGACACGTCGAGCCTTCAAATATTCCATGACTCATCTTTTTCTACCCTGTGAGCGCAAAGTGAGGCAGACATGTTGAGCCTTCCATGACTCATACAATCTACCCTGTGAGCGCTAAGTAGAACACACACACATGCTGGCCTTCTGTTCAGGGTTTGGGTTACAACCTTGATGCCATGACCCTTAATATCCACCCTGCGAACGCTAAGCAAGACAGATACGTCACTTCTTCCATTCATGGTCAGGGTATGCCATGACCCTTAGTGTCCACCCAGCGGGCGCTAAGCAGGACAGATATGTCACTTCTTCGATTCAGCGATTCAGGGTTAGGGTTAACACCCCAATTTTAACCCTAAATCGACCCCGTGGTGGCTTCACCACTCACGCCCCCGAGTTCTGCACCTGGACACGCTCCACAAGTGTCGGAATTGTAACTGTCATCACGCTTTTGCCTTTTAGACCCAGACGTCCCCTCCCTGTCGCGACGGGTGCACGAGTCCCCGAAACAGAAATAATACAGCGGTAGAGGTCCGAGATTAGTGCTGGTTGAATGTGCCGGTTATCAGTATAGTGTCGGCGATTTTGCAGGCATTCACTGGGTCACCAAGTCATTATATCAGTATAGTTCCGATGTCCGGTATAGTGACGGTCAAATTTCCGGGCACTACTCTGTATACAGATGTTTTCTTACTTGCATTACCTGGCATCACAGATGAAAAGAAAAGGGTGTACAAGCTCAAATTGAACTCGAAATATAACCCCAGTATTCGAAAAAAAGACTACAGCAGTAGAGGCTCCTCCTCAGTGCAGGTTGCCGTTGTTGTCTCAGTTTTTCGGCGGGCAGACTGAATAGGGCCGGTGTCCCCCGTGTAGTGCCGTCTGGGCACCTACCGGCACGCGAGGAGGCCTCTATTGTCACAGATGCTTTAGTAACACCAGCATTAATAACACCAGCTGGCGCCACTGATAAAAAGCCCAGTTGTAGGCTTGAATAGACACGAAAATAAGCGCAGCATACATTTTACGAAGCAAAAGAATATACAGATATATTTCTTTGCTATTAGCACGAGTTGGCACCGCTGACAACACATTCGGTATATAGGCTTCAATAAACTCGACCTGAGCCCAGTATCCAGCTCACTATAAAGACCAAGACCTTCACCACATCCCCTTCGACTGACTGTGGTATTACCTAGAACGTGCAGTCTCTCATTGATTGTACACATACTTTCTGAAAATTACAGGGCAGCGGTTACGAGGGCGTTCGGATGTCATCATGGAATCTTCCTTGCACTGCAAGGGAATATGTTCTTTTTAGTGGTGGCGCGTTCTGCGCCTCAGTTGACCGTGCCGTGCACTCATTGGCGGCCAAGGTCACCATTGCGCTTCACGGCATGATTGCTTCCCGAGGTGCCATGTCCTGGCCTCTCAACGCCGCACCCGTACAGAGCATAGCGAATGTCAAGTCTTGGGGGTGGTTCTCAAAACTTGTGGTGCACAACGTACAACACGTTTGAGGGTGATGCACGGTCCCGCAACCACAAAAAAAAAGTTAGGTACCGTCGTGGCTCCGATACCTAAAGGGGGTACCTTGTACGAGGGGGCTCAAATGCAAGAATGCAAGAGGGTCGAATTCGGGTGTCACGGACTCGACCGTTCAGACTATAAAAATAGTAGGGTAAAGGAACCAACCCCGATTTGCACGCAACAATTTCGTGTGGCTGGCGGTGTCACCCTGACCTGTGGTTGAGGACACCGTGCGTCCACAGACGAAGGGGCTGTCTTGGGGAAATACATCGTGATAAGAAGCGTAAAGGGATTCACAAGGGTAGGTGATGCGGCTGCTGCGAAGTATCACAAGTTCGTGGACTTGGATGTTGCGCAGCGTTACTTGTAGGTTGTGCCTTGCTTGAGGGCGGAAAAATAGTGGAAAGTCCAACTCACACACCAAGTCGACGTGACAAGTTGCAAGCCTTAATGAAAACGGGATGAAGAGACCAGGGTACGGAAAAGAGGAAAAACAAGACCAATGACCAAAACAAGCGCGGGGCATGACAGGATTAACACGTACCGTCACTCGTATTGGCGACAAAAGCTTACGTCCTGATGCCATCTGATGATCCAACTGTCACCAGATATCTAACGTGGACCGACAGAAGAGACAAAGATGGCACGAAATAAACAAGACGGATGGACCAAAAACAGAATGGGAAGGTGAAAACGATAAACGAGCACGGAACAGAACGAAGAGTCCGGAAATGACACACGAAACACAAGACAGAAAGACACAGCGCTCCTGGTCGAGACAACAGCTTCTTTCCTGTCAAAGCTACCCAAACAAAAGCAACCGACAGAGACGCTAGATCGTGCCCCCACTAGGTTGGCGTTGCAGCGAATTGACCGTCGTGCTTGTGCGAAGGAGGCCGGTCACCTCGCACACCCAACAGCAGAGTGCTGAGTTCACAACACTCAAGACGTGCGTTCGAGCACTCGCATGCACACATAGTCCAGAATCAACAGCCCGACACCATCCTGCGACAACTCGCGTGACATTCTTGCCCGGAATTTCCCCAACCCAAGCAAGGCGGGCCAGGCCAGGCCAGGCCAGGCCAGTACCGCCGCTGCTCAGCCACTTCACCGGCCCATCCCTCCGTAAAATCATAACACGAGGAAGAGTTACCGAGGAACTTCAAGAAGACACAGCAAGAGCGACAGCACACCGGACGCACAAACGGGGAATGATGGTCGAAAACAGCCAACTCCGAGGTCACGAAACGCGAGGTACTTGTTACCCATCTAGTCAACGGATATAACACCAAACTGCACGCCGCCCTGCGACAGGGCGGGCGCTCCCTGAGACAAGGTGGGCGCTCCCTGAGACAGGGTGGGCGCTCCCTGCGACGATGCGGGCGCGCCCTCAGACAGGGCGGGCGGGCATCAGGCGGACGTTGTCGGAGGTCGACGAAGCGTGCTCTCCCCTGGATGGGATCCTCTTCATCATCGAGGGCCCCTTTTTCTTGGGGCGACCAGCCTGGTTGGGCACCCAGGCCGGAGGGAGAATGTCCACGTCAACCGTCAGCTCATCCGGCACGGGCAGCTGCACCTCGAACCGGCTGTCCGCGTACAGGGCTCGGTAGGTGTCCAGGTGGTAGGCCGGGTCGATGCTTGACATGGCCTCGTCGGACTTGTCCAACGCTGCGCCAGTGACAAAAATAAGGGCAGGGCCGGGCAGTGGAGGAAAAGGCGCACATAGATGAGTGTCACGCGAGGAATCGATATGGCAGGATATTTCTTTCTGTCAAGTTGTCCGCCAACGCAGTCCCGACGAAAAGCATTGACTGAAAGCAATCCTAGTATTCCAGGACAGCGTCTATCACCCGTTGGTGCTTCCTGGAAAATAAGCTCCAACGCGTCTACCAACTTTCACGGCGGGATGAGAGCGGGACGGCGGGCCCCTGCGGGCTGTGGTAACACTTGACTCAGCAACACTGCACCTCTTTTCGCCAGTCCAACCGGGCTGCGCCACACTTATACGAGTGCCGGAGCTGTCACTGCCCACCTCGCCCTTAGCGATGATACCGCAGCACGGGATCTTGAATCGAGACGTGTAGCGCACGTGCAATCATGCGAGTCACCACGCCATCTGTCCCGAACTCCAGCCCCACTCGGTTGCCGTAGTTGCTGCCTAGTTTGCGAACAGTCAAGTTGCCGTTCCAGGTGGCGCGGGAAGGCAGGCTGTGATACGAAGACGGGCGCGAGTTGTGGGATGTGGGATGGACAGCAAATAACGAAATCAGGTTGTCGTGTAGTTGCCGCACAAGGCAGACACGTCAACCCGAGCGTCAACAACAAAGTAAATCGGCGGAGAGATGGCAACGGTCGGAGAGGCTAACCCGGTACCCGCATTAACAAGGCTAACAACCAAACAAAGGTAAAAAAACAAGAACGGCATGATTTAATTTGATTTTTGCACCGGCGTCGGAGAAATTTCTTTTCGAGCTGCAGGAAAGAGGCACGAGTACATGTGCCGTAACATACATGTGGAACATATGGGGACGGTGTCAGCGGAGCTGAAATACTTGACGGATTTGGGTTCGTTTTTGAATTGAAAGGAAGTTGACAACCGGATACTCACCCAAGCACACAACATACAACCCGAAACTACTGCTACTGGCGTGTGTGCGCAACAGGGCCTGGTGGGTATGTTACTGGAGATAGCACCGGCCTTTGACATTGCACCGGGGTGCCTTAAAAAACCTCAGCGATATCATGGATTTGTGGAAGGCTCTTGGTGGAATATACGCACCGGGCTCAAAGAGATGGCACGTGTCATCTCGCCGCCTTCTACGGGACACATATCAATGAAGCCCTACAAAACTTCTAGATACAGACTTTGTCCCGAAACGCTTAGCTAAATGCCTCGTGGAGGACGGTAGCACAAGCCGTCTCCTCGCCAGACGCAGGCGATGGTCTGTACCACTTACTTGCTGGATTCCCGCGCTGAGCCTCGAACTCGTCGCGGCGTAAGGGGTAAACCTCTGCGAGGTGCTGTTGCAAAGTTCAGCCCCCTCTGTCATCTGGGAGGCGGTCTTGTCCAGGATGTGTTGGGCCATGGGCGGCAACTTCCTCCCCTGTGAATGAAGTAACGGCGACACTGTTAGGACCTTGGTGACAAGAACAGATATCTTGACTCGTTTTGGCTGCTGACATAATACCCGATTCTTGACGTACTCAAGCACGACGTCTTCCCTGTCGTGCTTGCTTGGTGGCCTATACAAGACGTGCGCACCCCTTATGGTGAATGAGAGCAGTACTATTGTGTAAAGACATTTTGACACGAAGGGCGAAACGCCGCCGCCCCCTGCGTCTTGATGAGGTCGACCTGCCGTACCCTACAAAGGCCGGCACGCCGTCGACCTAAGGGAGAGTTAGCACCGCGTCCGCCGCCCCGTCAACGTCTCTCGCCCTCACCACTCCTCAACGTCACTCTTGAAATAGCCACGCTGTCCAAGACTTGGTCCGCGTGCTCGCCACCAATTCAAAACACAACTCAACACGATGGGGTGATGAGGCCACACTAAAGCACGCTTGACTCGCCAAGAGTAGAAATAATCAAGTTGTCTCTAACTGCGTTCGCCGAGTACCAATTTCGACAGCCTTCACTTCGGACGTTGGTCGAACAAACGCTAAAACAGCTGTTAGGACACCCGTCCAATCCCTACCAACAATCAACCCTTACCTGCAAGCCTACCATAGCCATGTTTTGCTCGGCCGCGTTGGACGGCACGACAGAACCGATGGCGGTGTCGCTGGGTCCGGCGTGGTGCGTCCACTTGACAAGTTCGTGGGGTTTCTTCGGGTCCAATAGAGCGGCGTAGGCTTTCGGCTTCGTTGGCTTGACCTTGGCGTCCATGATGTCCATGAACTTGGTGCGGGTTGGCGCCCTGGCTGCGTGGTAGAGCCAGTGGGTCACAGTCTACGGAGGCAAACGAGGGCACATGAAAAGTCGGGAGAAGAACAGTATGTCAGGACACGCATTCTGTTTTGAGCGAGAAGCTACGGGCCCGCTAGTTCGTCGCGGAAAGTAAATGGTATGGGTGTTGCAACTTTTGGAAGAGTGGAAACCAACACAAAGTAATGCCCAACATCAGGTCAACACACTTACACGCTTCAACACAAATAGGATACACAAGCTTAGATTCGATACAACTACAAGACTCCAACTACAAAGTGCACTGTTGTATGCTTGGCACAGCAGCTACACGTGACTTCGGCACATCTCGATGAAAACTTGTGGTACACATTCGTACCCCTTTTCAACACAAGTTTTTCGTCTGACAACACACGCACCCACCGGTTTTAAGCAGAGGGGTCTACACGCGAATGTCAACCAAACCCTCCGAACCTCGTGCCCAGGATTTTTGGATTTCCCCCGTGCTATCGCAATTGCTTTCCATGCTCAGTATGAAATAGCACCGCATTTCGGCCAAACTTCGTTTTCGACGACCGCCCAGCCCCGCGAAACAGAGAGGCATCATTTCATCAACTCTTGATTTTGCTGCTGCTGCTGCTGTACATATAGTTATGGATATAGGTTGCGAGCTGGTCATGAGGGAGAGAGACTTGAGGGTGTAACCCATCCGAAGGCTGTTTGTTACCGGGTGAGAGGAACGGCACGTACACACACACCATGTGACTGACGTCTATCTTGTCAGCCGGTTTGTGCGGTCGATGCAATTAATACAAGGTAAAAAAACACACAAACGCACGTCGGGTCGGTAGGTTGTAGTCCTTTCACGGGCGAGAGGCAGCCGCAAGGGGCGAGCAATGTCCTACTGCTGGAATGCCAGGAGTGCACACCCGTCCGAGCAGAACATAAGAGGCGAACTTCACAAGATGTCCGTCGTGTGTATTCATTGGGTGTTGCAAGAATTCAGGGAGACACAAACAGACAGGCTCTTCGGTTGTGACAAGAGGCAGGACAGACGAACCTTTACTACGTGTGTACTCAGGTACTTACATCTTTCGAATACAAAGAGAAGGGTGTGAGTCGTTTTTTGTACAGGTTAATACACTTTTTACACTTGTGTGCGAAGTGCCTACACCAACAGAGGCACAGGGTCACAACTCCTCTCACCTGTCCAGGAGTTTGATGTCGGGAAGTGCTTTGATGTGATGACGAAGGCACCACCTCCACACAGTGTTGGGCGCCGCGTGAAGGGTGACGGCAGGTTCGTGCGACTTGTGTTTGTCCGTGAAGAGGGTGGTCTTCGAGCTGTTGAGTACCTCCGCCGATGTCGACGTTGTTCTTCATCACCCTGTAGGAACCACGAGTAGTTGTCGGTGTTCTCCTTGTCGCAGATGCTGGTCGCCACGTGCACCAGCTTGTTGTCGGCGTCCTTGCCCGTCGCGACCATCAAGATACCGTTCCAGTCGCCCTTCAAGCGGCCAGCATCCACGCAGAGGACCTTTCACAAACAAAAAAACGGGCGTGTCGGGGAATAGATGGCCGGGTCGGCGAAGGAGTCGGGTTATCTGGTTCGGTCAATAGGCACCGCTCCCGCCCGTACGCAGCTGCAGTGGTCCGAGGTGATTAGTTCACGCCACGTGTGTTGGACCAAGCAAAGTACGCGTACGGTGGGCCAAGGAAACACGCGTGTGAACCAAGCGAACCACGCGGGGGGGGGGGGGGGGGGGGGGTTTGGGAGGGGGGTTTTCCCCCCTTTTTTTTTTTTTCCCAAAAAAAATTACCCTGGGAATGGACCCGGGAAAAAACCCGGGGGGGTTAACCCCCATTGAAACCCAAATTTTTTTTTTCCCCCTTCCCCAAAAATTTTTTTTTTACCCCCCAAAAAAAAAAAATTTTTTTTACTTAACCTTTTGTTAAAAACGTTTTCCCGGTTTTTCTTAAAAAAAAAAAAAAAAAAAAAAACCCCCTTTTTGACCCAATTTTTTTTTTTCCCTTAACTTTTTTTTAAAAAAATTTTTAACTTTCCCCCAATTTAAACCCCCAAATTTTCAAATTTTTGTGTGGGGTTGGGGCCCCCATTTTTTTTTTTTAAAAAGTTTTTTAAATTTCCCTTTTTTTTGGGGTTTTTAATTTTTTTTAAAAAGGGTAAAACGGGGGTTTTTCGTTTTCCCCCCCTGGAATTTTGGGGGGGAAATCCCCCCAGCCCCCCCCTTTAAAAAATTTTTTCACCCGGGGGGGGGGGGGGGGGGGCAACACCTCCGGACACATGTTTCGCTTCTTTGTGCCCGGGGCTGCGGGACGCGTATCCCCGGCGGAACAAAACGCCTATACAACACAGCAGCAGCAGGCAATACAGCAGGCAATCCGCAAGTGCACAACAGCCGCCAGGCACAGGCTGCTCCGCTGCATGGCTGCTACTGTTGTAACAGACGCTTGCTACTGCCGCCATTACCTACATCTGTAGCAGGAACGGATTGCACTGCAATAAAGCACCATACCGACCACAACGCACAGCCAGCAGCAGCAGTTTGTTCATGGTAGCAGCTACCTCTCTTTGTGAATGTTGTGGGGCGAACCACACAGATCAGCGTGGCCAACCCTCCCCTCAAAGCGTGAACATGGACAGGTACAACCACACATATGCATACATCATCGACGAACACACATACACAACATGCGGCGTCATCACAGCAGTTGCTGCACGTATCTCTCTCTTTCTCTGTATCTGCGTGACTCTATCATGCTTTCTCTCTTGACTGAAAGTAACTGCCGCATTGGGACGGATTCGCCGCATACCCCCCCCCACTAAAAAACTCTTCAAGCAGGGGGAGGGGGCGGGGGGAAACACCTTCAGACATACCTCGAACGGGTAGTCTTTCTGTGTTTGTTGTCTGCTAAACATACATGTCACTCACCTCTGGTGGTGTGTTATCATGATGATGGGCGGGCCCTAAAAAAATAGCCGATAGTCTGCCACACAGCAACATCCAGGTCCAACGAGCGAAACATCTTTCCAAGCAACACCCACGCCACCACATTTCTCGCATACAACTCGCCCACCTTCAGCGGACTTTCCGCGACCACGTGCGCCGCACGTCCGAGCATGATATAACATCGCATGAAGGTGCCGTCTGGGTGTTTCTGCAAGAAAACCGGTGGGTGCGGGGAATGATCCATGAAACCGGCAATTTTGCAGAAGACAGAACATGCAGTGTTGGCGCGAAGCATACACGGAGAAGGGCAGCCAACGAAAGACAGAGAGAATGCCCACAAGGTTGAATACACGCTTGCATAATACGAGACCAAATGGTACGGAGATGCGGGGACGACAGACAGCTAGAGACGACGAAGATGGGGGGACGACAGACAGCTACAGACGACGAGGCGGGGGCGGGGGGCAAGAGAGGAAAGACAGAGAGGTGTAGCGACAGAGAGCGAGGGACCAGCCCGTTCCAAATCAACACGTCTATTTGGTTCGCTTTCCTTGAACCTCTTTGATACTTGGACATAAAATTAGGGATGGAGTAAAAATAGTTGGGGACAAAATACACGAGTGTTTCTTCTGATGATATCTTCTATGAAGACAAGATAAAGTGGTTCCAAGTGCACAGCAGCATTTGACTTGGCGAGGGGGGGAACCAAACGGCCGGCATCAACGCTTCATACTTCAAACAAAATTAACAGAGCAGCAGCAGCAGTACACACCTATTTGGCACAAGATACCACACCCTATGTCGCACAAGATACTAACCCCCCGGACCGATCATCAGGCGAGATTACAATGCAAGCGATGCAATCGCCATCAATCTACATGACATATCAATCAATGACAGAGCGACAGATTTTTCTGATTGCAATCCTCTTCGGCGTGAAGCGGTTGAGCTTTCGAATTGGGCTCAGGGGGTGTGGTAACTTCCGCGAGCTAACGCTGCTGTATGCATAGGACATGCGAGGACGGAAGGAAGCGAAGGGGTCGCCCACAATCGGCGCTGAACTCACAGACAGACTACAAATATACTGCTGCAGACAGACTACACTGCTACTGCTGTTAAGAGCTGTGCTGTTGAGAGCTGTGCTCTTGAAAGTACAATATGGAGTGGCCATATCACCAACACAGGTCGCCCGTGGACACCACACACCACACGCTTGCATCAGTACAGTCCTAACCACACATTTTCATTTTGCATGCGCAGACCACGAGTCGACAGAAAACATATCTCACCTGGGTTTCCGCGACAGAAACAGGGCACTGCTGTTGAAGCAGGTCGCAGAAAGAACCCAGCAGCTCGGCTTGCCGTTTATGGACGAATGGTCCATCACGGCTGTGAAGGCCAGATGTTGGAGAGCAGTGGTCCTCCCCTTCGTGTTGCCGCCGGAGCAGTGGGTGTGTGCGGCGTCAACCGTGTGCACCTTCCACACTCCGTCGGCACCCTTGTAGGCGCGGACTTGTGCCTTGCAGCCGCCGGTGTGGCCCGAGCACCGGTGAGTCTTTTGCCTGCCCCCGCTGTTCCTACTCGCAACGAACGAACGGCCATCTGCCGCGAACATTTGACCCACCGCTGTCCAAAGATCGCTGGTGGTGAAGTAGCACGCGCCTTGCGCGAGGACCGCGGTACTCCATCGCTCATATTTTGCCGATGCCGGTCTACCGTTCAGGCACGAGTGCCGAGATGAACCACGAGAGACTTGGTGGGTTGCAAGAGCGAGATCTACTTCAAACGAGAGTTCCGCCGCGTTGCAGGTGAGAGATCCACCTCAAACGAGAGTTCCGCCGCGTTAGCCGCGTTAGGTCCGCCTCCGCCGGCCGTCGGAAGCGTCGGAATTCGAGTGCGGGGTGTTGGCGACGTGTGTTGGTGAGCGTGGTCTGCTAGCGGTCTGTTGGTCGAATAGCCCAGCCATTTTCGGGAAGGCGAGAGTAAGATCGGGCACCCCTCCGGGGGGTGAGTAGCCAAGATCGGGTGCACCCGGCGGGAATAGGGTCAGGGCCGGGTAGGGGCGGGCGTCGGCCAATCAGATGGCGCCAGGAGGGCGCTGCCGACTGTGTAAAACAAGTGTACCCGATAATGGCCGGGTTGGGGCCGGGTGTATCCGATTTTGGCCACTCCTCTCATCTAAACATAGACTAGTATGAGCAAGATGTAGGGTATTTTTATAACAATTACGAGTTTACTTTTCGTTTTTTTCGAGGCCAAGTGTAGCGGCTTACCGTACATGACATAACGTGAGATATCACACGCCCTGGACCGAGTTGCAAAAGCTCGAATACCGTAAATGTCGGAGAGATGGTACCCCTGTTTTGAAGTGTATTTGTCCGCAATCAGCGGGGTACCACTACCCCTGTTATTAACGTTTTTAAGGCGTACTTCTCCACAACCGGAGGGGTACAATACCAGTGCCGAAAAGGGTGATTTCGGAAACATCTGGTCTAGGGGTTTCCTGGCAGGTATCGGTTGGTCTTCGCACCCTCCTAGTTGTGGAGAAATACGCTATGACAAAACGCTAACACGGGCGGGGTGCCATCTCTCCGACTCTTGCGGTACCCCACGCCGGAGATGATTCATAAATGAGAAGATACCTTTTCGGAAACCTTTTTTGGCACCGCCGCTCTTTCTGCCGTGGAGAAATCGAGCTTGGAAAATCCGGCAATGCGGGTGTGATATCATGTGTCACCTTCTGTACGTTGTCCGTCCCACCCACCGGTATGGCACCATTCTTTGGACACATGTTTCGGACATCACTACAGTCGGAGGCCCTCCATAGTGAAATACAAGTATATGGAGCGGGTGTCCCGTATACAAATTGAGGCAAGGGGAAATTGGCGGGCACAGATGGCCACTACCTTGAATGCCCGCTAGAGCGGGTGAAAGCGATTGGCACGTGTTGTTGTTGTTGTTTTCGTCGTGGTGGTTGTGGTTGTCTTAACATAAAAAAACGTTCCGTCCTCTCTGCCCAGTACCTTCTTCTGTCCGTACTAAATAGTCGTGGCAAACACCCGCACTATTGAGGGGCCCCGCAACTGTACATATCGCGTGCTATCGCTGCCAAGCAGCACAAGCTCCGTAGCGCAGCCTTCCCGCAGGGACTGTCTTTCGTACGGCGGTAGGTGCAGAACAGAATCGAAATCCTTGGGAACAACTTCACTCGCCGACAAAAAGCTCTTGCCAACAACACAAGTTTGTCCGAAATATCCCGCGTCATGCCAAGCAAGCGCTCGCCCTTCACGCGCCGACGCACAATAGTCACGAAGAGAGAGGAGTTGCAAAGCAAACGGTGTGTGATATATAGCCGATTTTCTTGCCCTTGAGTCCAATGGGTACATGAGATCAACCAAACACGGTAGGTGGTGTCATGAACTGACGGTCAAGCATTGAATGCGGTTCCCATGAGCGGGAAGGACGCGGTCAACCCTGTTCTGCTGCGTTCAACACGATGTCATCCAAAAACTCG